ATTTTTTAATTAAGAAAGACCTGCATTTCCTTCTTTTTATGTCATTACAGTGTGCAAAAAGGTTTGATGAACTGAAGAGCAGTGGAAGTTCCCCTGTTGACAACCAGTATAGTCCTCTAATGGCTGCTAGAGAGAGTCCTGTGGAAACTTTAGCCATGTATATCAAATCCTCCCTTCTTGACATGCAAGGAGAATTTCAGGAGACTCCGGTTGGTCAAGATGCAATTTCCAAAGCAAGTAAGGCTTGAAAACAAAATGCAGTACTTGTCCTTATGATAATTTGCAAAATATGCAGTTCAATCAACTTTTCTTTATGTATTTAAAGGCTAATATAAACATTGCTAGGAAATCTATTAGGATTTGTATCTTCCTGATTTTTAGAAATGTGTCTTTGCTATATTTGAAAAATGTTTTAATGTTAATATACAGGTCAAACACTATCACCAAAAAAAGCTTTTTATTATATTAAAATTTACTGCTCCAGTCTGTTAGCCTGATTATGTCATAAATTTAAAAAGATTTGACCTACAATTTCTACTTAATTTTTTTTCCTGAGAAAATGTTGCTTGTTCCTCATATTATCTACCTTTTATGTAGTCAACATTAGCTTCAAATGACGCAGTGGCAGGATAGAAAAGATGTTTTCTGCAGTTGGAAATAATAACTGATTGTAGAAATCCTGAGTGTAGTGAATGATTTAAATCTCAGCAGCAGCAGTCAGAATACTGATATAAAAATTTACTTCAGAAAGAGAGGACTATATTGTTGGCTTTTGAACACTTGACCCCTGTCTATTCACACCACATCATTTTTTAAATCTTCAGTGTAATGTTAGCAATGTGTGATCCTTTTTTTTCTACTGTTTCTTCCATATACGTTTAGAAATATTAAGGGAAATGGCACCTAACAGAGTACCATCTTTAACTAGCCTTGGAAACCATGCATTTACAGTATAACCATTCAGTAAGTAAAAACCCGTTCTCAGCTAGAAACGCTAACCTCCCCCTTTGTTTTTGTATGTGTTTGTTTCTGTATTTAAGGAAGACATAGTATAGCTTCCACAAGGAATTGTTCTTCAGAAAGTGAAAATTGTACTACTCGTAATGGTGGAGAAAAGACTGAAGAATCTGAAGGGTAGGAGGCTGGTTCTTTGCTAGATAAGATTTAATATGAATATCAACTTTAAGTGATAAAATATATGATTGGTGATTGTATATATCAGTTACCATAATTTAGGAATTTCACATTACACAATTGTTCAAATTGTTGGAATAAAGGGTAGTTCATTGAACTATAACAATTGCTTGATGGCTAAACATACGGCTTATTCATTTTATAATTAAATTGGGTTACAGTTTTCCATTTAAAAATTCAGTTTCATATTTGTAAATATTAGGAATAACCTCTAATATAAAACTTTGAAAAGCAAATTTTAAAACCCAAAGAAAAATCCCTTCCATTAGTTCTCCAATTTTATGAAACTAGATGTGTATTTTGGAAACAGTCTCATTAGAAACATTTAAGAATTAGAATACACCTTTCAGTATATTGCAAGTTTTGATTGTTTTGTATATTTTACATACAGTAGATTAGACATATTTTAAGTATTCATCTTGATGAGTTTTAACAAATGGGTACACCATGTAAGCATCACTCAAAGATATAGAATATTTTCATATCTGAAAGTTCCTTTCTGTATTTTCAGTTCTCATAGTTTCTTTTCTAACAGTTTTATTCATATATAATTCATATACCATAAAATTTACCCTTTTGAAAAAAGTTCTGGAGATGGATGGTGGTGATGATTGTACAACATGTACTTAATGCCATTGAACTGTACACTTACAAGGGCTAATATGACAGATTTTATGTTATGTGTATTTTACCACAGTAAGAAAAATTCACCCTTTTGAAGTGTATAGTTCAGTGATTTTTAATTTATTCACATAGATTTTTAACCGATAGTTTTGTTTGTGTAGCACAAAAATTTATCAGATAATTTTTTACTGGAATTATCTAGTATTTCAAAAGCCACAGAAACATTATGCTTCATTATACCAGCCATTACCTGTTTATATTTTGACCGTAATTTCTTTGGAAGAACAATTTGCGAAGTTATTTAAATTCCTTTGACTTTGACAAGAATGTTGGTTAATAATCCTTTTTCTGGTAGCCCAGTTTTGTTTCAATTGTAATTTTATTAGAAAGTTATGGAGTTCCTTTGAACACATTAAATTCATATTCTATTTATTCTCTTTTGTAATGATGTGAGGGTAGTTGTGGATCCCACTGATACTGCTTTTTGAGGTGATATAATTTTCAAGGGAAAGTAAATTCAAGGAGTATATAATTTTGAAGCAGTTGTTCTGATGGATTATCTAAACTTATTCTTAAATTATTTTTTAAATATGCTAATAAGCACGTTGTAGTCTTAAGAATCCTTTAACTACATTTACTAATTTATATTTGATGAATGCCTAGAAACAAACTTTCTTGCTGTTAAAAATAACTAAGTAGCCATGCTAGTTTTTTGATTCTTCAATGAATGATTTTAACTGTTTTTCCTATTTATTAAAAGTAAGAAAATTTTAGTATTTAATCTTTACTCATCATACCCATAACCATATAAAAGTGCCATTTTATGTTCTTCGTCAGAATTAGAATGTATTATTTAATTTTTCTTTGTGAATTGGTATTTTTTAAAATTTTGTTAACTTTTAACTGGAAAAATAAACTTTAAACTGTGTAAATTAGAGTCCTATAATAAAAATATTTTTGTTTTTCTAAGCTCTAAAGTTATTAGGCTTAATAATCTTAAGGTCAATAGCTTAACTAAAATTAGTCAAAATCTAAGATATAGATCAGATTAGCAAGACACTTAAATGAAAAATTCTGAATGTCAAACCCTATAAAATTGATTTATGGTAAAAACTTCTAAAAATGTCTTATTCTCGTACTTCCAATAAATGTCAGTATTCTTAGCTCCTCTTCTAGAACTCTAATAATTTCATTTCTGTGTAACGTTTTTTATGAAGGCCAAACATGGTGATCCATGTATGTGATGAAGCAAAAAACTTGAAAGAAGATTTTATTTGCCCACGAGATCTTTTGATATCAGAAATGAAGTACTTTGCTGAATATTTATCTATGGATGCCCAGCGCTGGGAAGAGGTGGACATTTCAGTTCATTGTGACGTTCACATTTTCAACTGGTTGATAAAATATGTTAAAAGGAACACTAAGGAGAATAAAGATTGTGAGATGCCCACTTTAGGTAAAAAATCTATTGCTTATTTTGTAGTAAAATTTATGTGTCACCTGGTAGTTGCTTCTGGCCAAACATGCAATGTGGAAAATTATTTGGACATTAGTATTTGTGCTCAGATTAGTAACCACCTTTTAGGAAACTGATACCTCTCGGGCGCCTGGGTGGCTCAGTTGGTTGGGCGACTGCCTTCGGCTCAGGTCATGATCCTGGAGTCCCAGGATCGAGTCCCGCATCGGGCTCCCTGCTGGGCGGGGAGTCTGCTTCTCCCTCTGACCCTCCTCCTTCTCATGCTCTCTGTCTCTCATTCTCTCTGTCTCAAATAAATAAATAAAATCTTAAAAAAAAAAAAAGGAAACTGATACCTCATCCTTTTTTAGCAGATTACAGTGAATGTATGGCAAGTGGACAGGTCTCTAGATCAGCAGTTCTCACTGTATGGTACATGGGCCTCTGGAATCCTAGAGATCTTTTAGAGAATTCACAGGGTCAAGACGATTTGTATTATAGTACTAAACTGTTTCTGTCTTTTTCTCTGTGTTGACATTTATTCAGATGGTACAGAAGTAATAGAGGAGAGGGGCGCCTGTGTGGCTCAGATGGTTAAGCGTCTGCCTTCGGCTCAGGTCATGATCTCAGGGTCCTGGGATCGAGTCCCGTGTCAGGCTCCTTGCTCAGCGGGAAGCCTGCTTCTTCCTCTCCCTCTACTGCTCCCCCTGCTTGTACTCTGTCACTCTCTCTGTTGAATAAGTAAATAAAATCTTTAAAAAAAAAAAAAAGAAGTAATAGAGGAGAAAACTCTGGGAGCTTTAGCACACATCAGAGCAGGGGCACTAAACTGTACTAGTAGTCACCATATTCCTCAATACCACGTACTCATAGTTAAAAAGGAAAAAAAATTCACTCTCACTTTAAGAATGTCCTTGATGAAACACTGAAAATTATTAATTTTATTAACTCTTGACCCTTGAGTATGCATCTTTTTCATGTTCTGTGTGATGACAACGGGAGGTGCACTCCTGCTGCACACCGAAGTGTGATGGTCATCTGGAGGAAAAGCACTTGTGCAGTTGTTTGAGTTGCAAACTAAACTACCTGCTTTTTAAAAAAGAAAACCATTTTTCCTTGAAAGAATGATAGGTAAATTATGGTTATTCAGATTTAGGCATTTGGCCAATATTTTCTTGAAAATGAATTAAGGGAGTTGATCAACTAAAGGGAAACAACTGACAGTATCCATTGTCAATAATAAAATTCAGGGTTTCAAATGAGAATTGGAGTGTGGAAAACTTTATCTGCTTCCATGTGCTTGACAGCTTCTCCATATTTAAAGACTTTTTTTTTTTTATATGGCCATTTAAAATCTTTAATCAAATTTCATCAATTACCAGCCATATTACATGCCATGATTAGCTTTCTATAAACAACTTTGCTTTCTGTGTACAAATCAGTGTCAATGAAATAAAAAATAAAACCATATCCTAGGCAAAGAACTTTATTAACCTTGTTTCAAACTTTATTCCCAGGCTTCTTCAGCTTAACTAGCTGCAAAGAATGAATTGTGTATAAGCAAAAACTGAAAAGAGCTGCAGTGTCCAAGGGGCTTGGGCTTAAAAATATTAGAGATCTAGATTTTATCAGATCCACAAACAAAATTTTAAAAAGCAGTCATAATATAAAATAGCAGCTCCCGGTAACTTCTTCAAGTTTTATGTTCTTCAGAAGTTGACTCAATTCAGTTTGCTTCATTCTTGAAAGCTTCATCAAAATTCTCCACAAGATCTGGAACTTCATCATCATCATCCTCTCTGGTAGCAAGTGGTGCTTTTCTATCCACAGATTGTTTGGGCAGAGCTTCAGCCAGTCTTCTCAAACTAGTCAGACTGTCTGCACCAAGTTGGTTTAAGATACTGGGTAGCATTTCTGTCAGCTGCTTTGCTCAGCATGGCCTGTAATGGTGAAAGTGTTCGCTGCCAGTGATGCCTGAACTTTGGGGTTGTTAAAGTGGATCACTGTTCCTTGGTTTGTGAACATATTCACTTCTTCAATACCAGAGATATTGTTTACCCCTAACTTCTTTAAGGAGAACTGAAGTTTTTTATCATCTGCTGTAGCCGTTCTATGAACCACCTTCTTCTTTCGGCGAGCAGTTCCTTTCCCACCAATGCGCACTTGTGCTTGCAGTTTGGCGAGTTTCTCCTGGTTCATGATAGTTTCTTTCATCTTGTTGGAGCGGAAATGGGACCGCGCGGGGGAATAGGGTTGGCGCTCAGGGGGTCTCGGGCGGACCAGCTGAGATTAGGAGCACACACGCGGGGACGCAAGATGGCAGCTAGAGGGAGGCCGGAAGTCAAGACTTTTTTTTTTTTTTTAAGATTTTATTTATTTATTTGACAGAGAGAGACACAGCGAGAGAGGGAACACAAGCAGGGGGAGTGGGAGAGGGAGAAGCAGGCTTCCCTGCAGAGCAGGGAGCCCGATGCGGGACTCGATCCCAGGACTCTGGGATCATGACCTGAGCCGAAGGCAGGCGCTTTATGACTGAGCCACCCAGGCGCCCCTTAAAGACTTTTCTGATGAGGCTGGTGGTAATACTAACAAGTGTGATTTTTATATATTAATATATATATATTATACAATGAAATGTTTCAACATTTGGAAGATCCACATAACTCAGTGAACCAATAGTTTCCAAATGACCAATGCGTGTTGTTAAAATCATGCATGGATTAAAGATCCACTCAAAGTGTAAGATAAATCATTTGACTTTGAGATAACAGAACAGGAGAAGTTCATTGATATGACTTCAGATTCCACTGCAACTAACCTTTAAAAGAAACTACCAGTTGTTGAGTTTTGATGTAACATCAGAGAAGACTACCCACAAATTGAATGTAGAAACAGATAGAATCCAGCTGCCTTCTATTAAGTCAGACATGGAAGAAATTTGCAGAAAATGTCAGTGTTACTCTTCTTGCTAATTTGTATTTTGGAAAATATAGTTATTTTTCATAAAATATGTTACTATGTAATGAGTTTATTATTCTTTTAAAAGGAATTAAGAAATATTTTAAATTTTTCCCTGTTTTAATTTATGATATGGTCAGTACTGATAGATATAAACCATCTAAACAAAAAAGAGGTCTTAAGATCAAAAGTTTGGAACCAGTGTTCTAGATGAAAGGAAGAATAATTACTAAGTAATCTTTAGTTGGGTATGGACTTGTATAGGAAATCACACTTGTGGTTTAATAAAGTCTTTCTGTGTACTAGAGTTTGCTATTTATAGCAGTACCAAAATATTTTTTTAATCTTGTTAGTAAATAAATCTATAGTGACAATATAAAAATTTTCTGAAGAAATTTATAATTTATTACATTTTAGTGACCAAATTAATGGAAAAAAGGTTCTAGTGGCTCTTAAATAAAAATTACAAGATTGCCAAATAAAAATTTTCAGCCAGAGTCGAGATTCCAGATCACCCAGATATGATATGTATATGTAAAATAAAAAATCAAATTATGCAGACAGAAAAAAATATTGTTTGATCCAGCATATTTATACGTATAGTAAAGATAAAAGAAGTGGAGCAAAACCAGTCACTCCGCAATCAGTAGCTACAAACATAGACTTTTATAATAGCAATCTTTAGGGGCACCTGGGTGGCTCAGTTGGTTAAACATCTGACTCTTGATTTCAGCTCAGGTCATGATCTCGGGGTTATGAGATTGAGTCCCACGTTGGGCTCCGCACTCAGGGAGGAGTCTGTTTGAGATTTTCTCTCACCCTCTGCCCCTCCCCCTACTTGCGTGTGCATACGTGTGCTTGGTAAATAAATAAATACATAAATAAGTAAAAATATTTTTAAAAATAAATAAACAAAAGCAATCTTTATTCTAACCGGGAAAACCACCAAAATGCTTAATCAGATCTCTAATAATTCAGACAATGGGTCTTAGCTGGAATGGGCTATATTACACTTCCCCGAGAGAATTTTCACTAGCTCCCTCCTCCCTTCAAAATTGCTATTTGAGAGCCTTTAACCTGGAAGTAATTTTTTTTTTTTTAAAGATTTTATTTATTTATTTATTTGACAGAGAGAGCGAGAGAGCACAAGCAGGGAGAACAGTAGAGGGAGAGGGAGAAGCAGGCTCCCCGCCAAGCAGGGAGCCCGATGTGGGGCTCGATCCCAGGACCCTGAGATTATGACCTGAGCCGAAGGCAGAGGCTTAACCATCTGAGCCACCCAGGCGCCCCTACCTGGAAGTAATAGTTAAACAAAGATTAGGGTTACTTATTTTAATCGCTGTCTGCATAGTCCTTTATTTAGAAGGATTGTCTTAGTACTATAATGCTAAAAATCATAGTTTTTTTTTTTCCTTTCTTAAATATACCTCATAGGAGATGACTTAGGTTTACCAAAATAATAGTGTTAGCTGGCATTCTCCTTTCCTTGGTTATGCCTCTCAAGGCCCACCTCAGCCTGCCTTTAGGAAGTAACTTAGCACTTCTGCAATAGTAAATTTCATATTATCTCTCAGAATCTTTTAATTAAATATTTGTTTGTAACAAGCATTGTACTGCTTTTGAAATAACTTCACTAATAACAAGTGCTTTCATTAATTGTTTAGAAGATTTTCTCACGATTATTTTTTTATGTGATGAATTATAGTCTCAATTTTAATTATCTCTGATTTAGTTAAGGAGAAAAGTTTGCATGTGTCATATCTTTAGCTGGAATCGTTTTACTTGCTATGAATCTAATTCCAGGGCAGATTTACTATGTGCTTTTTCTATACCCTATATTTTAACACTGCATTTTCTTTCTTTCATGTATCTAAGCTATATGATGTAGTAAGGTTATACTAAATTGCTCTTAAAATGTAACATTCTCTGTTAAGGTGAGAAGGAGCCTGTTCTGAGGAGGTTGAGGTACAAATCAAAAGGAGAATTTAATTTTTTTTTCTTTTTTTTAGAGCCAGGAAATGTCATTTCAATTCTTATTTCTTCAGAGTTTTTGAAAATGGATTCATTGGTAAGTATTATTAAAAGATCCAAGCTCTTTTCAGGGTGCCTGGGTGGCCCAGTTGGTTAAGCGTTGGCTCTTGATTTTGGCTCAGGTCATGATCTCAGGGTTGTGAGGTTGAGCCCTGCATTGGGCTTCACTCTGTGGAGCCTGCTTAGGATTTTCTCTCTCTGTCTCCCTCTGCCAAAAAAAGATCCAAGCTTTTTTTTTTTTTTTTTTTTTTAAAGATTTTATTTATTTGACAGAGAGAGACACAGCGAGAGAGGGAACACAAGCAGGGGGAGTGGGAGAGGGAGAAGCAGGCTCCCCGCAGAGCAGGGAGCCCGATGTGGGACTCGATCCCAGGACTCTGGGATCATGACCTGAGCTGAAGGCAGTCGCTTAACCAACTGAGTCACCCAGGCGCCCCAGATCCAAGCTTTTTTATTCACCTATGCTTAATTTAACATGCAACTTGATTTTTCCTTAAAGTGTCTAGAAATTTTTAAGACATCCTACTAAAATAGTTAATTCAAGAGTGTGATTCTGTAACTGAACTAAGAGGAGTTTGCTTCTTGGTGAGTTACTTGGTGAGAGACTACATCAGGTGGAGTTGTCAGACAAAGGAAACTATTTGCAGCAAATAAGGAGATCAGCCGTTACTCCCCAAGCAGGGGTGAGAAGTTCCTTTATTTAGGGGTTAGGATGAATATTCATAAAGGGGAGCCCTGTCATTGCAGGTAAAGGGGGGGGGCATAAGGTACAGGCATCCTATGCTATGTTAATGAAGCTTGGGCTCTTCCCAGGGTGGATACTTTAATATTATAATGAAGCAGAGGTAACTGGAAGAGGGGAAGGGGCTATGGGCATAAACTGGGTGGTGTCATGGGTTTGTTATCTCCATTAGGAATGCACGGCCTTGCTTACTTTGGAACCAGCATTGGGAGTTTTTACCACCAATTTGTGGTCTCTGATATGGTCAGGCTATTTCCAAGCCTGATGGAGACTGTTAGTTTTTACATTCCCTTGATTCCCTTAAAATTCTTAACTACTGAGGTCTTTGTATTTCTTTATAACTCTGACACCTCCTAGGAGGTTCTGCAAGAAGTGTGCTTGGGCAAGTAGGGCACAGATCACAGAAAATAGCTTGGGGCCTAACATGACTTCTCTTGTGTCAGGAAAGCTTTGTCTGTCTTTCCTAGTCCAGGGATCCCTAACTCTTTCTGTTTACAATTCCATTAGAATAAACTGCTCTTGTTCTGTGGGGAAGGGGTTAGACTACTATGTATCATTAGTATATTATGCCTATAAAGCAAACAATTCATCTTCAAGGAATAGCTTATTGTTGTATTAGATGAAACTAAACAGAATTAGCTTTAGTCCAAGATGGATTTTGCTCTAAAACCAAATTAAGTGAAAATTAATTGGAATATATTTGTTTCACTAAGTAATTTCTTTAAGCATGTTTTACTTATTTGTGTCTTTCATTTATAACTCAGTGAATTAAAAACAAATACCCAACTATTAATATAACTGTGTATGTGTAAACCAGATGCTAATGTCTATTGTTTAAGAATAGTTGATAAAATGTAAAAGCGCAATGTATACATGCACATATCAGGCTCTGACATTAAATATATTTGTTTTTTTTATTTAATAAATTTCTTAATCAGGGCGCCTGGGTGGCTCAGTGGGTTGGGCGACTGCCTTCAGCTCAGGTCATGATCCCAGGGTTCTGGGATCGAGTCCCGCATCGGGCTCCCTGCTCGGCGGGGAGCCTGCTTCTCCCTCTCCCACTCCCCCTGCTTGTGTTCCTTCTCTCGCTGTGTCTCTCTCTGTCAAATAAATAAAATCTTTAAAAATAAATAAATAAATAAATAAATTTCTTAATCATTCACATGTTTATATATGTTTGTGTTAAGGCAGAGTACTCCTTTGCTATATTAACAGATGTGAAATTTGTTTGATTATTTGGGGTTTTACTAGTTCTCTGTATTCTTCCTACTCCTTAGTTGTTCCCCATTTAGTTGTATTAATTGCTTCAGGGTAGGGTTACAGAAAAAAGCAGAGATGAAAAGAGTCCTTAATCTTTGGGTTTTGAAGTCTAAGCCCTAAAGCGTAATTTTTATGCCAGAAACAAAATATTTGGAAAATACATGATTAGCCAGTGCTACTCCGCAAAACGCAAATCCACCTCAAAAAGTAAATAAATATACCTCAGGTTGGAGAAAGGGGAGGAAAGTCAGGAAGCATGCACAACACAACTGAGAAAACCCTGAAGTGACTAAAATTATATTTTAGCCTCTCAGAGAAGTAGAGGCTTAATATTGCCACTAAATC